CGATGTCCCGGCGTGACATGATGCCAATGTCCCCTATTCTTGTGGTAGAAATATTTGATATTTGAGGGACGGATTTTATGGGCCCTTTCCCGTCGTCATTCGGGTTTGAGTACATTCTCTTGGCAGTAGATTATATGTCTAAGTAGGTGGAGGCAATAGCTACCCGAACAAACAATCATAGAGTGGTAATCAAATTTTTACATGAAAACATCTTTAGTCGTTTTGGGTTTCCTAGAGCCATAATAAGTGATCAAGATACACATTTTTGTAACTGGCTCTTTGAGTCGGTAGTTAAGAAATACTCTATCACTCATAAAGTTGGCACTCCATACCACCTTCAAACTAGTGGCCAAGTGGAAGTCTCAAATAGGGAGGTAAATCACATAATTGAGAAAACGGTGAGACCGGATAGGAAAGATTGGTCACAACGGTTAATTGATGCATTATGGGCTTACTGTACTGCTTATAAGACACCCATTGGGATGTCACCATATAGAGCGGTGTTCGAAAAAGCTTGCCATCTCCCGGTTGAACTCGAGCACCGAGCATTGTGGGCCATAAAGAAGTTTAACTTTGATGTGGTCGCGGCTCGGCTCAACTGGAAATTGCAACTCAATGAGTTGGAGGAAATCCAGAATGATACATATAAGAGTTCGAGAGTTTTTAAGGCTCGGACTAAAGAATTCCATAACAAGCACATTAATAGGAAATCCTTTGAACCCGACCAAAAAGTGTAACTTTTTAATTCAAAATTGAGACTCTTTCCGGGTAAGCTAAGATCAAGATGGGATGGTCCCTTTGTAGTTGTTGAGGCATTTATTCATGGCGCCGTTGAGGTGCAAGATCCAAAGACTTGCCACACTTTCAAAGTGAATGGCCAAAGATTGAAACCATACATAGAGGGGATTGGGAATGGAGATATGATTGAGTCCATTACTTTGATGGACCCATTTTACTACGATTGATAGATTAATTTCTTGTTCTCTTTTCTTTCCCTTCTTTGCTATTTTGTTTTTCTTTGTTCTCGTCATGCTTTATTTGCGTCTAGGAGACTTTAAATCCTCTAAAGGT